CACATACTACAGGTTAGTTTGCCTTTGGAATCATACAGTGTGTCTTCTTTGTGTCTGGCTGTCACTCAACATATGAGATTCGGCCATGGTTTCTGGGTGAGTATTTGTTCATTTCACTGTTGCATAGCATTCCCTCACAGGAATATAGGACAATCGCCCATTCCACTCTTGGGCGTTTGAGTTGCTTCCCTTGAGACTATAAGGAATAATGCTGATGTAAATATTCCCATACAAAACTTATATTCATTTCTCCCGTGTATATACTTAAGAATAGATCAGTGACAATGCATATGATCAATTTTACGCAGTTTGGGAAACTTGCCAAAGCAGATTTCCAAAGATGGTAGCTGGTGGGAGAAACTTCAGGAAGTAGTACAGACAGAGACCATGGATGGTAGGAGGCCTGCCACGTGCAAAACAGGCCTACACTATGAAGATTGTTCCTCATCTTCCACCACTTGTGACTGTCTCATCAAAACTCTATGTAAACAAACACACAGAAAAGGGCTGCTGTAGAGGCTAGGAGGAAAAATTCAGTTTACATTTACAGCAAATACAGTTTGGGCTTAATTTCAGTATCACTTAAATTTCTAGAAATTCAAAATACAAGTAAATTGGGGAAGATGATTCTAGTTCCATAATTTCCAAACAGTTCACCATTGGGATCAGCAGTTGGCATAATGGCTATGTCACTGAACTCCCATGTAGTTGACCATGGTTCGAGTCCTGGACCCAGTGGCTTAAACTTACGCCTGACGCATGTGCGTGTGTGCCCAAGATTCCACAAGGACAATGGAGGAGAAGGGATAGTGGTGTTGCCGTACCCCCAGGGGTGATTTCTCACTTTCTGTCTCTCTGTCTCTCTCTGTCTTTCTGGCGAGAGCACATGCCCTATAGCAAAAACCTCTCAAAAAATTAATAAATAAAAAATATAAATTTTAAAAAAAAGAACTGGGAACCAGCAGTTAGCGTAATGGCTATGTCGCTGGACTCCCACGTAGTCAACCGCGGTTCACGTCCCGGACCCGGTGGCTTAAAACTCACGCCAGGCGTCTGTGCGTGCGTGCCCAGGATCCCGAGAGGAGAATGGAGAGAAGGGATTGCGGCATGACCATCCCCCCTGGGGGGGGATTTCTCGCTTTCTGTCTCTATGTCTCTGTCTGTCTGGCGGGCGCATGCACCCTATAGCGAAAACCTCTCCCCCACCAAAAAAAAAAATAAATAACTGTTCACCATTTAGGAAAATTTTATCACTGTCATCAATGAGGCAGGTAGTAGTTGAGCATTCAACATACCTGTACCAGACTGCTTTTGTAGCTGGGATATTCACTGTGATTCCTCCTACAGGCTTATGCCTGTAGTGTCTGCACTGTGTTTTCCAGTACAGTCATGCCTATACCTATCCATGCTGAAATATACATTGTTTTACTATACATTACTTAAATTTCTCTATTGCACTAGTTATAACTTCATATTCATTTTTAAATGATGTGGGTAGATAACTATATTATCGATAAACCTCACTTCTAGATAATAACAAGGCCCCACAAAATATTGTACTCACCCTTTTACTACCTTTTATCCATTAGTCTGTTGATGGTGTTTGGTCTTAAAACACTTGTACCTGCAGGATAGGCTTTCTCAAAACCTTTGGGGAAATAGGCAGAGAATATGTTTGAGTCGATCAGAGCAAGCAATGGGGCAACTTTCCTGACTGTTGTCTTGACAGCAAGTGCCAAGTCAGTTCATTTTGGCAATATCAACATTATTGTTTTATCTTACGATAACGCCAAAACTATAAAAATATATTGGTTTCTTGCAGTAGATTTGATTCTGAATTAAATATAATGATAGTTGTAGTCTAGAAAAGCTGTCTTCTGTTCCAGAAGATGGTTAAAGATGCTAATTATTAGTGAATTATAGATGGCAAAAGGAGGCTAAATATATTAAAAATATACTTTGCTTCCAAGGTCTTTTTTCCTTTTGCCAAAGGTCTGGACAAAAGAGGCTGTGGAGATACATGTGACCTTTTGTTTATTCTGAGTAGCAACCTCCAATGAGCTATATTATATATCCTGGAAAGACATACCTTTGAGTTGATAACAAAGTTCAGGCAAACCCTGCAATTCCACTGCTAAGAATATGCCCTTTGAATATACTGCCATGCTACATATAAAAATACATGTATATGCAATATTGTTTATAATGCTAAATCTTAGAATGAGTCTAAGATGATTATCAAAGGAAACTAGTTAAATTTTAAGTCCAGAGCTGTCCTGTGACCTAATGGTTAAGGGAACCAGATCCCACATGGCTGAATGTAGTTTGAATCCTGGCTCTGTTGGCTTGAAAAACACTGGGTATGTGCATCCATGCTTCAAATCTCAACAGGATGGCAAAACTGAAGAAAAAAAGATTGTGGTGTGACCACATTCCATTGAGGGATACCTGCTCGCTTGCGCTCGCTCGCTCTCTCTCTCTCTCTCTCTCTCTCTCGTAAGTACAGGTATCCTCTGAAAATAAATTTTTTAAAGAGAAAATAAATTTTTACAACCAAGTAGTAAAGTTAACACTCCACACTGTAAAAAACTTATGCTATAATAAGCACTTAGGCACTAGATGGATTGAAAATATAGCAGAAGCACGTCATCAGTTCCTTACTTACTTAAGGACTTTGGCAGAAGTGGATTTGTGGTGGCTTTATACTGCATCAACTTAGCTCAAATGAAACCACAGTACCCAGAATTCCTTTCCCTATGTAATTTTAGGTTAGGAAGAGTCAAAGAGAAATATGAGATTAGGACGGCAGAAGTAATGCACCAGCCATTCTCACTCTCTAAAACTCACTGGAGGGGCAGACTTTAATCCTGTGCCTCACCAAGCAGGCAGGGGCCTGCGGCTCTGCAGCTGCTGCCAAAGCTACCACTATATCCTGTGGGTCATTCATGTCACTGAGTTTGGACACAAGAAGTGACAAAGGCAGGTTGTAGTTTGTCTTTGTAGGTTCCAGATTATTCTCACTGGCTTTCTTCTTTCCTTACTTTCTTCTATTTTATGACCTTGTTTCCCTGACTATTGGCCCTGCTGACTTTAGGCCCTACAGTAGACACAGAGGTTGACAACAGACACGGATGACTTACCAGCTTCTGCAAAGATAAAGAATAATGCCCATAATAAATTCCATATTCTTTATTACTCACAAGGGTTCTGCTTCTCAGATTGAACCCTAAATGAGAGAGGACTGGTGGTTAAAACTGAATTATATAAATTATTCTCTTTCGACTTTTTTGGACTTTAATGCACATAAATTGTACTTGTTCACTGAAATTCTGTTGTAAGGATACATTAAGGATTATATTCAGGTTATGAAGACATGGGTGTCCAAGGAAAGGAGATTACCTGTAATAGGGATGATTGTTCTGAATGATGAACAAAGGGATTTGGACTATCTTTGGAAGGGGAGGATAGTTTCTGAATGCCTTGAATAAGAGATAGCCTATGAGTCGGCAGATGGCATAGTGATTGGGCCACTGGGTGTCCTATGGCAAAAAAACTAAAAAAAAAAAAAAAAAAAAGAGAGAGAGGATGACTTGTCACCATTTATAGCCTGTGGTATTATATTAAAAATTCATTTGAATTGTATTACCTGTTATAAAAAAAATCCATATGTCAGAACTACTCAAAGAAATTTTTAAGAGATGGAGGAAAGCTACCAATAATTAAAAAGATAAATCCTGGTCATAGGAAGACTAGCCACAGGATGATTACTGTGACTGTGTGACAGCTGTTTAGAAACTTTTGACAGATTAAACTGCAAAGATGCAATTTTCTTACTTTCTTTTTCTTTTTTTCAAACTTGTTATAGGGTGCATGTGCTCACTAGAGAGAAAGTGAGAAAGCACTCCCCTGGGGGAGATGGTCATGTTATAATCCCTTCTCCTCCATTCTTCTCTTGGGATTCTGGGTACACACACATGCACCCGGCATGTTTTTCATGTGGGATCCAGTAACCTTAACCTGGTTGTCACCTGCAGGCCCACATTTGATTTTCTTGCAACACAACTGAAGAAAGGTAAATTAGTTAAAAGGACAAAAGGGATTACCTTGAGACTAAGCTGTAGAATGATCTCCCAACAAAGAAATAAAGGGAAACTCAAGTCAGACTGTTTAAAAAGAGACCATTCAATTAAGAGGTAACAATCTGCCTGAACTCTTTGAATGATTAAAGTCACACCATAGGACTTTTGTTCATATTTAATAGATGTTGTCTCAATGAATAATAAATAAGGTAATGATCCCCATGAAGATAACATTATCTATTTA